TTTTAAGACAGCATGAACAACATGATTCTAATACCAGAACTAAGCTAAATCTCAGACTTCCAAGTGTCATGAGGAGCTGGGGTAAACAACGGACAACATTTCATGCCTTCAAGGATCTTAACTCTCCTTGCCAAGCGATCAGGCAATCCGTTCATCTTAATATTTTTAAACGTAATCCTTTAAATTTGTGACTCAAATGAATTTTATACCATGTTATTTTTAAAAATCGAGTTTCCAGATGGGACTTGAACCCACGACCCTCCGTGATCTAGTCGGATGCTCTAACCACTGAGCTACAGGAGACTCTATGGTGAGCAAGGGTCAGTTAGTGGGTATTGACTGGAACCGCATCACGCGGCTACACACGGAGGGTCGTGGGTTCAAATCCCATCTGGAAACTCGATTTTAAAAATTGTTTATTTCATGTTATTTTTAAATCTGTGATAAAAATGAATTTAAGATAATAAGTTGTTTCCTTTTTATATTTTTTAACATATTTTTAATTTTAATGTGCGAATGGTTTTTGTATTTTGTATTTTTTTTGCAGATCCTTTTTGAAAACCATATTTTATATGAAAATGTCATCTCATTAAAGATTGTTATTATTATTATTATTATTATTAAACCTAAATTGATTTAGATTTCACTTACTGACTAACTGACAAATTTGATTTAGATATACTTTGATTGGCGGACTGACTGAATTGATTTCATTATTCTCTTTTCGAAACTTAACTTAAGAAATATTCCAGGCACGTGCGTTGTATCCTTGATGAGTTTTTTCCCTATCAGGCGGAAGGAACAAAAACTAAATATGGTTTGACGTCAAATGACGGTTCCAGTTCCGTGATTTATGGCGTGAATAAAAGTACCATTCATGACTAAGCCTTTTTCTTTTTTAAAAGATGAGTTTCAGGTCTGAAATCATGTAATCTATTGAAATTTATCTGTATTCACGATCCTATAAAATGTTTCGTCTCTTTTCGTGGTACGTTGTTCGACCATCTGTCTAAATGAGCATCTCACGCAGAGATTTTCAGCATGTTACGTGTAACATCGAATCATTCCTCGGCATTCATAAACAATAGCCTCTATTTGGTGCAAAAATATGCATGGTTATTTATCCGCGGACAATATTTGTTCCGAGACGCAAATAGTTTTCTGAGAGCGAAGCTTGAGTAAAACTGCGAGCTTCTTTCACTAGTTTTTTAGTTATTGGGATATGTACCAATTTAGTTATTGGGATATGACCTCCACTTCTGCAAATAATCTCTAATCGCAAGTAATCAAGCATAGGATGAAAGGGTGAGTTAATAAAGATGAGAAGTTTTAGAATATTCTACGAAAAGTCTAGATCCAACCCATAACATGTGTTAGTAGAATAAAGGTGTGTTCTGTCGAACTTTGCAATAATCTTTGCAGTTTGTAACAAGCTGTCAGACTTTGTAATAACACTTGTAGCACATTGTAATAAACCACTTGTTGCAGTTTGTAATAAAATAAGCTGTCGCACTTTATAACAGCATTTCTAGCACTTTGAAATAAACTAGCTATAGATGGTCAGAGGGCGAGAAGACACCATGACAACCATCATCCCTGTCGAAAATGGCAATTATTTTATCGCTGGCAGCACCCGTGGGCAATAAAAAGCGAATCCTCTGTTCTGATTGGCTTCCTGAGCGGGCAAGTTGGACCCATCCCGCTCGGGTTGTTCGCCTTGATTCCGCGCAAGAAAAACATCTCGTGGAGCGGACTTACAAAGTTCGTCATTTTTTAACAATAAAGCGATGGATTCGCAAAAAGCGGCAGAAAACAGTCAAAACTAAGAAAAAATAAACGACTCTCTTGGTTTGTTGTCTTAAATTCACAGTTGGCTTTCTTTCTCGGCTCTCGAAATAAAAAGTCATTCTTGATTCTTAATAAAGTGAAAAAATTTTGCTTTGTAATAAATCCTTT